ATGCAAGGACGTGAAATAGATATGCGTTATTCCCTGGATTTTACTTTTTTAATTGTTTTTAAAAGATTTTAATTTTTTTGAGCGAGACAGAGACAGAGACAGAGACAGAGAATCCCAAGCAGGCTCCACACTCAGTGCAGAGCCCGGCACAGGGCTCGATCCCACGACCCTGGCATCACGACCTGAGCCAAAATCAAGAGTCGGATGCTCAACAGACTGAGCCCCCCAGGCAGTCCTGAATTCTACTTCTGAAGTCAAGGTCGTTGGATGAAGAGCCTCAGCAGGAGGGGGCGGGGGGAGCTCCAAGCTGCCAAAGGAGGTAAGGAGGGCTCATCTGCTGGTCACAGGAGCACAGGCTGCCCTTACGAGAAAGGAGAAGCTGATTATAAAGGACCATTGTCCGCAACAAGGCCAAAGCAGAAACTCACCGTCAGTGGAGGACCAGCATGCAAGGGACCCATAGCTTCTACCCCCGTCACCATGAGGGACACATACATCATGCAGGGCTGACGCGGAACCACATGCGTCGCACCCCGTCTTCCCCAGAAGCACAGTAATAATATCACTAATGATGTCAACGATTCTATTCGTCACGCATCTGTGTCCTCACTGAATTTCACGATCACGACCGCCAGGGGAAGTAGGTAAGGCAGAGGTGATTGTTCCCCCTCTACAGATACGGAGACTGAGGCTCAGAGAGACACTGAGCGATCTGCCTGGGGTCGCCCAGCAGGTACCAGATGTGGCCAGGGCTCTGGACTCCGAGGGCTCTTCTCTGTCCTTGAAGGCCGAGCAAAGCAATCGACACCGGCACATCTCTGCGGCCCGTTTGGTCAGCGGCACACCACGACCAGGCTGAAGACGGCCGCGGCACAGCCACCATCCGAGTCGGGGCCCCACGCGCCAGTCCCTGCAGACTGTAGTCCCCCTCAGCTACCATCATCGTCCTCGGCAAATCCTGATCGGCATGTGATCCACTGGCTTGGTTCAGATCAATGACTATTTCTGCACTCGGGTCATCCTTAACTAGGCAACAAACACCGCCATCCAGCACAGAGCCTGGCTGTCGTTTAGGGCCTACCCTCCTCCCCCGTTCAATCAGAGACAGAAGCAATGTGCCACCTGTGTTAGAGATCATGACCTCGACGCCGGAGAAGAAGAAGAACCTCCACCTTCCGCTGAACGCACACTTCGCCGTGGAGACATCGCTCCGTAGGGCACGGCCTCGGCCAGGACTCAACAGTCACCTCTTCATACCCCGCCCATCACAGTGTTTTCGTACCGGCCACCCTCCCTCCTCGTGCTGTGGTGTCACGGGCACCCCCTTCTACACACGGCAAAGAGGACACGGGCATGTAAAGAATCTCCTTCATGAAGGTTCTTTACAATTCCCTCTGCACAGAGAGAAATTCTCTCTGAAATGCCAGGGAGGTGCCACCAGCGGCCACCAGCCCCGTTAAAGACCTGGCAGGGGGTCCACCTTGCTTATTCCTGAAAAGGGTCAAGGATGTCTTACTGGAGTTGGAGTCTTTTTTTTTGTTTGTTTTGAGAGAGAGAGAGGGCACCAGTGAGGGAGGGGCAGAAAGAGAGAAGCAGGGCTCACCCTATATGGGACTCAAAATCACAAACAATGAGATCATGACCTGAGCCAAAGTCAGGTGCTTAACCAACTGAGCCATCCAGGCACCCGGAGCCTTGATGGTTAATGTGACAATAAGGACTAGAATTTCTTCCTGGCCTGAGAGCATGCATTCTTAGCAGGGGTGACATCACCCCCCCCCCCCCCCCCCCGCCCCCGGAGGTGAAAACTGGTCGTCAGGGGCTAAACATCTTCCAGATCACGATGCTTTGTGGCTCTCCAGAGCTCAGCGCTACCCAACAAAGTCTTACTCATCAGTATTTCATATAATGGGTGGAGGATAATTGAGACAGTGTCTAAAAAGCCTCCTGGGGTGGGGGGTGACAATGAAACCAGGCTGAGAACGATCAGCTAGAGAGCGCCTGGCTTTGCAGAGTCCTAGCTTCATCAAGACTCTGCCTCCTCACCCCAGATGGGAATATGCTTTGCCAACCTCGTATCTACTGAATCCTAGGTTCTGCTGCTTCCCTCCTCTGCAGGAAACAGAACTCGAGGCCCCTCCTCCAGAAATTCGGTTTCCAGCAATATACAAGAAGGGGCTTCTGCATAAAGGATGGGACAGTGACATGCTCGGTGGCACTTGCTGTGATGCTGCAGCCTTTCCCCGGGGGCACAAAGCTGGGAGATGTCCAAGCGCTCCAGGGCAGGAAGGCTGAGCATGCCGTTCCCACTCCCTGGAACATTCTGCACCAGCATAATTACAACTATGAGGACACCATGGAAAATGGCCCGTGATCCAATATTCACTGAGGAAAGCAGGGCCAGATTACAACCATCCTCTGATCAAAATCGTAGGAATTCTGCGAGCACAGAAGCTGAAGCACTGGATGGGGACGGGGGAAAGATACAACTGGCTGATTCTTTAGGGTGTGGGTTCAAGGAGGACTGACCTTGAGCCTTGGGGTTTGCATTTGGTGCTGATGCAAAATGGCTCCTCCAATGAATTAAAATGGTTTTGAAAAGGGCGGGGGGAGAAGAGAAAAAGCCCTCTTCCACCAGCTTTCTTCATTTGCCTGAGAAACAGACACTGCATCTGGTCCCCTGGAGAAGGAACCCAGAGGGAGGGGGAGGGACAGAATGTCAGTAGGAGCATCCCGCGGGTGAGCAGGTGGGCTCGTCCAGATCTGCAGGCCGTCACCCACCGTCACCCACCCCCAGGGTAGGCTCGGCCGCTGTCCCACGGCCTCGTGCCCCTGCCCCACCGTCGCTGCCCTGGAAATCAATGCCACTAGCTGGCCACCTTCCAACCCATGTCTCTGTATCACAGCCCACTTACGGTCAGCCTATTCAAACTTCCTGTGCATCGAGACCTGGCTGCACCACATCCAAAACCAAAGTCAGGTCATCAACCGTTGCCTCCAGACCACTTACTTTCTCCCTTTGTGGATGGTTCCTCACCCTCTTTGGAGGCACGTCAGACCCCGCCTCTCCCCAACTCATTCCCAGCAGGTGACCTAGGACTAGTCAGTCCTGCTCAGAGAAGCCTCTCTCTCATCCTTCTTCAGGCCCAGCGGCCTCTCTCCTGGGGACTTTGGCCATCCCTGCCAGTCTACTCCCCACGTGACTTCCAGGCTAATCTCCCCGAAACACTACTCGGCCACATGAAAACTTCCTCTGATTCTCAGACTCAGTGCAAAAGCTTCTCCCAGCAGACTGTTCCAGAAACATGCCATTCGCTCCTACCCCCATACCTTTGCTCTCGCTGCCTGGGGTGCCCGCCCTTCTGTCTTCACCTGCCCAAGGCTGGCCAGCGATGATAACCGACCCCATCTGCAACCAAATCCCTTCCCAACCAGGCCAATGGACCAGTCGCTTCTCCCTCCTATTCCCCAAATATCTCCCCTGGAAAGACCTCCAACGTACATATTTATCTTGTACACGTTACGAGTTTATGACAAAGTGGCAGGGTTTCTGCCCTCATGGTCCCAGATGAAGGAGGCTCATACAAACAGGTAACTCAACAGTAAGAAACCGTGACTCGTGCTGTAAAGGCAGTGGCATTCCTGGAGGGGTGAGCTCACTCACGACACCAGGGACGTGCAACCTGCTCTCTGCTCTCCCTTTCCCTCCCCGTCCCACCCTCTGGCGCTCCCCCTGTGGGAGAACAGTGCCTCATAAGTCAGTGCTCTAGAAATATTTCCTGCACACATTCTCAGCATTTTCCCCTTCCAATGCAATATGTTTTTCTATTTTCTCTTCTCTCGTCCTGCTCCACTGCTGTTTCTCTTTTTTTGTGTTTGTTTGTTGGAAATGTTGTTCTCAATACTAGGATAAACTAACATTTTTTTCCCCCGAAGTCGAGAGATTTCTATAGTAACCTCGCAGACTCCATACGGGGGGAATTGCTAAAAATGCTGGCTTCTTTTTCATCCCCAGGAGCCAGGAATGCAAACGGCAAATCACTTCCGGCTTGAACGCTCTTCAGGATTGATAGATGCTCCCCTGAATAGCTTCCAGTGGAGCGCTGCGGGGCCCTGGGGTCACCCAACACCACCTGCAGGGGCTGCATTCACCACTCCCCGACTCCTCTTGGCTCTACATCACCACGATGATGGTAAGCAGAATCACCCAGGGTAACAAAGCACACTCCACTAGCTCCACTTTTCTGGAAGGGCCCCGATCTTCCACACAGAACAACTGTTTAAAGACACCAGCATGGCGCCCGGGGGGCTCAGTCGGTTGAGCGTCCGACTTCAGCTCAGGTCATGATCTCGCGGTCTGTGAGTTCGAGCCCCGCGTCGGGCTCTGTGCTGACAGCTCGGAGCCTGGAGCCGGCTTCGGATTCTGTGTCTCCCTCTCTCACTGACCCTCCCCCGTTCATGCTCTCTCTCTGTCTCAAAAATAAATAAACATTAAAAAATTAAAAAAAAATAATAAAGTCACTAGCTACCCAGACTCTGTGCAATAGCTCATTTTAAGTGCATTTAGATTCACTGCTTTTGACCTTAAATGCACCAACTGAGTTGATATTTGCCTAGTTTCTGGGCTTGCAAAGATGTCCAGGGAGCGAAGCTGAGTTAACACACAAGTGCTCTGTAGAACAGAATGGTGACCAGAGTCCTCGTATAAATGCCGGAGAATGCAGAGCAGCAGGGATGATGCACAGACCTCAAGTCCAAACACATCCTGACGGAAGAACAAGACAGCAAGACCACCTCTTTAGCAAGCCCCACCTCTAAGTCTGTGCTGACAGGTGTCCGGAAGCTGTGTGTGGGCGTCTCAAATTAAATGACATTGAGACGAACTGGGGTTTCTGGGTTCCCTGGGATGAGGCGGGGAGCCCTCTCAGCTCAGCCTAATTGCTCCAACCTCAGGAATGTCCCCTGCACTGTCCCTGGGTGGCTGGCTCCTTCTCCCAGCACCCAGGTCCCCTTGCTTTGAGCCACATTAATGTGCCCTTGGTGAATCCTTGTTCTGTAAATGTATTCATGAGGCTATCTGACTGTTCAGTCTCTTCAAACAGATTCTTAGGTATCCAAGGGTTTCTCATTCGTCAGCACCCCCTGAGTTTTCTAGCACCATGCTGGGGGCAAAGGCGGAACAGGATTTCACACGCCGAGCACTCAGCATTCAGGCTGCTCTTTTAGCCTGTCCTAATCAATGGCTGGACCCTTCCTCCTTCCAGGCCCAGTATGCAAATATTCTCCGCAGCTCAGAATTACCTGGTTTCTGTAACTAAATCTGGGGACAGTCTCAGCTGGGATTGACTTCTGCTCCTAACGGCACGAAAGTGCTAAGAGTATAAAGGCATCAAACAGTAGTTCCCAAGCCTGGCCGTACATTAGAAACCCAAGGAGAGCTTTTCAAAACTTAGACCCTCCAGACCCTTCTCCTAAGGGTTCTGCTTTAAAAAGTGGCCCAAGGTAGGGTTCAAGTAGAAGTATTTTTCCAAATTTCCCCACGTGATTCTGTTATACAGCCCAAATGGAGGATCAGGGAGTCTGAATACCAAGGGGTAGTGTTATATGTTTCCTTGGTAACTGGGTTTCCCCATCGGTAAGGGAAGGATAACAGTCCCTGCCCTCCGGGGGTGGTGAGGAGACTGACCATGTTAATGCAGGTAAATTGCTAATGTAGTAAATTGATGTAGGTCCTGCAATTACTATTATCAGTGTATTCTAGATCCTTTTCCTTCTTCAACTGCCTATGACCAACATCCACAAATCAGTGTTATCCCTTAAATGCACAGTGAGTCTTTTTTTTTATGAGAGAGAGAGAGAGAGAGAGAGAGAATGTGAGCAGGGAAGAGGGGCAGAGAGAGAGAGAGAGAGAAAGCAGTCTCCACACTCATCACAGAGCCTGATGAGGGGCTCGATCCCATGACCCTGGGATCACCACCTGAGCCAAAATCAAGAGTCCGACGCTCAACTGACTGAGCCGCCCAGGTGCCCCAAACATACAGTGATTCTTAAGAACCCCTGTGTTAAATCAGAAAAGTCTGGCTTCAAATTCTGTTTCAACTAGTTGCTGCAGGGGGAGCCTGCCTCTGGTCACTGGAACCCCCAACAAGGCATTCTCAACCTACAAACTACAAGCATTTAGCGTGGCTTCAGAAAACCAAAATGATCCTTCAGATGCCTACCGCAAACACATCATCTTAATTTCCGGAAGGAAACACACACACACGCACACACACACACAAGCAACTATGTCACAAGCATATGATACAATGCTCTTTGAGAAATCTGGACCTCACCTGGCGCATTTCCTTGTAGTTGTGGTGTTTGAAATCCAGGTCGTCGGTGGTGGTCATCTCATTCCGTCGGTGATAATAGTTATTTGGATCTGGGGACAGAAATACGATTTTAAATTCACTCACATCGTCCTATTCCTTGTGGTGGTTCTGTTAGTGGCCTGATTCGTGTGGAGACACAAGCTAATCTCTAGCTTCAGAACATATGCACAGAGGGGAGAGAGCCAACGTTTGAGAAGCAGCTCAGGAGTCGGAGTTAGCCAGTGGTGGGAAGTGCGGACTTAGACCCAGAATGCCTGGTTCAAATCTCCACTCTTCTGCTTAAGTGCTGTGTGATCTTGGCTAAGTCACTGGAGCAGTTTCTGCCTTAGTCTCTTCACCCCTAAACAGGGAAGAAAGGTCCTTCTCTCGTTGGTGTTTCCTTGCTTAATATTAATTGGGATCACTGATGTGCCTGGCAAACTCTCAGCACTGAATGAATGAATAAGTGAATGAATATCACCGCTATACACATGAATGGAAACTTCTGGAAGTGTGGTGCACACTATTAGTTACTCGCCCACCATCTAGTCCCTTTCCACCCTTCCTAACAGAAACCCAATGCAGTTTGGGAATCACCCCAACACTTCTAGGAAGTACACCTCATATCCCAGCTCAGGGGGCCAGTGTGACTGGTCTCAGCCAATCAGAGCACAGCATCTCCTGGCCTCTCTTACTGGTCCAGATTGAAGGGAAGGACTTTAATGGTGCAGAGCAGGAGTGAGTGAGAATCTCTCCATGATAGAGGACAGAGAGAACCCCACGAGCATCAGGAGCCATCGAGTGACGCTACATCGGATCCCAACCAATCTCCCCTGGCACTCCCAACCGCATGAGATATCCAATTCCCTTACCCACTAAGCCGGGCGGCGGGGGGGGGGGGGG